TTCTTCATTTAGAAAATTACACGAGTTGCATCAGGTCTGAGCAAATTAGCAAGTAAGAAATCATTGACCTCTCATGGAAGCATCACTACAATCTTGCCATGGAAAAATGTTAGCGTGGATAAGGAGGTAAAATTAGCTTAGATAGAAGTTCGGGTGAGATTTAGTTATCAGTTAGAATAGAAAATGAGAATTTAGGTTATTCATATGTGGCTTCGAGTGCACGTAAGTCTTGTGAAGGAATTGGTCACAGCACAAGCGACACGATATCATGAATGGCATGCTCATGCTAAGAAATGGTCGTTACATGAATGGCATCAGTTAGAAGCAGAGCTTACTCGAGAAAGAGGAATATGGGGCCCGGAAAAGGTAGGCGATTCTTTCAAAATATCAGATCTGCCTCGACTTTATTCTCAATGGTTCGTAGGCCTCACTCCTGGACAAGTACAAGTTGGACACCACCGAAGGACCATCTCGCACTCGGCGAAAAATGATTCCTAATCGATTCTTCTACCATACATTCCCTTATAGGCCTCATCTGGATGAACCTGGAGCGGTAAGCTATCAATTTCTCGAATCCGAAAAAAATTTATTATCAAATTTTATCATTCTTAGCGTTGTGTTTTATATTTTCCATTTTACTTGTAAATTCATTTTGAAACCAGTCACGGTTATTCTTATGTGCTGAAGGGTTCCTTTTCAAGAAGTCTATGAGGGCCAAGGTGGCCATATCCCGTGACAGCGAGCTGTACTTCAATGCTTGTCGCAAGCGACGCGGGAGGATCATGGACACCCGAATAATCGACTACTCTGTAACGATTACTACTCCATCAGAGGAGAAGCCGGCTTTTACATTCTGTGATCTCGCCCGTAAGTTCAGATTCTTCTTCTTGAAAACCTCATCAAAGCTGCGTACAAGTTTCGAATTTACCACCACTGATGCAGGCATCTTACCAGCGATAGAATTACGAGAATATACTTTTTTCTACATAGTTTTTGATGAAATTGCAGAAATCAACACGTCATTGATTCGACGATTATCCGCTCGGCCGCAATTAGAGGCACCACATCAACCTGCCGGAAATGACGGGAACGGTAAAGAAAACGAAAATGGAGAGGAAAATGGGCTTAAGGTAATTTTTGCTTTCTATTTATCCTCCGCTCATGGGTACTTTCAAGGAACCGTCAGTGGAGCTGGAAGACGATCAGCAAGATGAATCCTCTGCCAGCGAAAAGCCTATGTCAGAGAGTCGCGAAGAAGTCAAGGAAGAAGAGAAGAAAGATAATGAATTGAAGAAAAAGAAGGGTCCTGATAATCAGACGTTGCTTCGATTGCTAGAACAAGGCGAACAATTGCATAGCATGTTTCGATGTGCGCGGATACAGGTAAAACCTACAAATCATCACTTTTGCTGTCCACAACTATTCTTTACAGGGACTTGAAACTTCTGAAGGTCTGCTACTGTTCGGACGAGAGCATTACTACGTGGTGGATGGCTTTACGCTTTTGAAAACGAGAGAAATTAGGGATTTGGATTTTTTGAGTCAAGAGTAAGTCATGCTTGTTTCAAACGTCTATATCAGTAAAAAACGTTGCAGGCTTCATGACCCTATAGTACCGTACACCGCTACTGGAGCAACGCATCCACCCAGATCTTCAAGGCTTTGCAGCAAATTTAGCTATGAAGATATCAGAGAGGTCCACAAAAGAAGGTTAGCTATTAGTTTTACGGTACATATGTCTCAGAACTAATAGTATTTGCTTCAATCTCTTTGACAATATGCGAAAAGCAGTCATATTCTGTGTCTTCGAAATAAAACTACAGCAAGAATTCCTTTCCTGCGATTGTAATTGAATCACTCCAAATAAATGTGAAATGGGCACTATCATTTTTTTTGTTATTTTCGGCTGTTGAATAGAAATTAAATGCAAACCCAAAAAGATTTTTATACTGTCTTCAAGTGTTCCGCCAGACCATCACTTCCGGTGCGGAATACCATATATAACGGTGG